TTAACTATTAATTTTTTTATTGGATGAATGAAATTTATTTAAAATTTTGATAAAGATTTATTTACCTTTAAAACTTTTTAACAATTAACTTATTATGTTATAATATTTATATATGATATTAACTTTTATAATGGATTCACAACTTTAATTTTTTTATTTATTTATTTTATATTATTTGAATTTTTTATCAAGATGAAAATAGTTTGTGCTCACACTAAATGGAAGTGATGTAAAATTATAAAATATTCACATTATATTCTCAATGGTAGGACCAAGGTGAGTTGTGAAGTTACAAGAATAACGTGGAGCGGATGCAAATTTAGTTCAATTCTAAATTAATTTTAAAATGTACATTCATTTCGAGGTGTGGCCGAGAGCGTTATGAATGACACGAATGACGAATATACAATTCATATTATATTTAGTTTTATCTCCATACTGGAATTTAAATCTGATACATCTCATTTAAGGGGCCACAGTTATGTCTCTCGACCATAAGGCCTTTAGTTAATTTGTGTATTTATTATATATTGTTTAATTATTTAGTTTAGTATTCACACTCGGTGGAGCTGATGCAAATTTTTAAAATGTACACCAACTCTATTGTGACGTTAGGGTGATTCTTGAAATTATCAAATTGTGACCTCGTTTTTTTTTTTTTTTTTTTTTTTTTCAATTTTGATACTCCTGAACGTTGATTTAAACAAGATCAATGACTCACATTTAACCGCACTATCGCACCTGGACACAAAAATCACATTTGAACATATATATATATATATATATATATATATATATATATATATATATATATATATATATATATATATATATATATGAGAGAGAGAGAGAGAGAGAGTTGCGTTCAGGTGCGAATGCCGCGCCCAGGATGGAAATGTGAATAACTCAGCACGCGCCATGTGTTCAGATCTAGGTGCACTTATAGTTATAATTAGGTGCATCTAGGTGAAAGTAAGTGCACCTGATCAATGAATGTTAAGAAGACAAAATTACATGCACTTGTAAGTGAAAATAGGTGCACTTGTAGGTGAAAATAGGTGCACCCAATCAATGAATGTTAACAAGACAAAATTACATGCAAGTAAAATGTATTACAAATGCATGTAAAATGTATTATATGTGCAAGTAAAATTTAAACTGAGCATCAATACTAAGTGCAATTGACGTTATAACTAGGTGCATCTATAGTTATACGTAGTTGCACCTAGGTGCACGAATGTTAACATGGCAAAATTACATGCACTTGTAGGTGAAAGTAGGTGCACTTGTAAGTGAATTTACTACATTTTTTACTTGCAAAGGTGCACCAGCTACTTGCACTTATAACACATTTACTTGCACCAAAATTCGAGTTATTTACAAAAATGTCATCGTATCGTTTGTTTAACATTAGATCTGATTCGTTGATCTGGACACGTGGATGACTGGCATGTATTCGCATTTTTCTCCTGGGTACTTATTTGCACAGGAGTGCGACTATATATATATATATCTTGTAGGTAGTGGGCTAGAAATTTTGTAAACCTTTATATATGAGACAACCATGAAATATAATTTAATAAAACAACATAGAATACATAACAATATAATATGGAAAATACTTCAAAAGAGACAGAACTCTAATAAAATTCTGGAATGATGCTGAGCATCTAGCTAGCCAAGCAATAGAACTCTTGCATCCATGCATGGCATAATCCGATACCATGCATTATTGCTCTGATTTGATCTCATTCATGGCTTGCGGGCAGTGTACTCTGATCTAGCTAGCTAGCGGACACTGATCCGCTTCTTGATTGGCGTTCCACAAGTAGGACAGTCGTTCATTCCTAGCCTTTGATGAAGCACATTACAGTCTTCGCAAAGAGCCATATGAGCACAAGGGAGGAAAGCTACTGTTTTTTCCAGAATCAAACACATAACACATTCCCTTCCCACATTCATGTCTAATTCCCAACTATCCACCAGTTTGAGTTCAGAGATTTCAGCTCTTATCTTCTTCATGCGTTCTTCCTCCACAGTAGACTCCTCCAGTTCTGCTGGGCTTTCTTCTTTTTCTTTCCCCTCCTTCATAGATCTCTCCTTCCATGCCTTGATCAGAAGCAGTTGTTTGTGGAGAGATTCTGCTAACCGTTCATACTTCTCGTAATATATGGGAGGTGGGAGTGGGATCCCATCCCTATCCCTATCCATGGAACTGTCTGATAATTCATCAAACACTATTTTCTCCTTACCCTTGTTATCACCATTGTTGTTGCCTTCACCGCCTCCTCCTGCCTCGTTTGGGTTAACCATTTTTTTTTTTTTTGCTGTGAAATACATACAAAGACATAAAGATTAGAAAAATTAATTACATATATGTTTACTCTTATCCTAAATAAATAAATTAAATAAAAATAAAAATTCTCATTTCCATATATAGACGAACAAAGAAAGATGTGTAACATAAGATTCAATTTTAATAGAGCATAAATTCACGGAATTTTAAAAGATATGCACAGAGAATATCAACATACCTTTGAATTTTATTGCAATTTAGACCAAAAAGAAGTAAAACGTCCTCACTCCTCTGCAACAAAATAACTAGTACGAATCAGCAAGCAATTTCAATATAAAACAAAAAACAAAACAAAAAAAAAAACAAAAAATTATATAGAAATACAAAGACTAGAAAAACCAGATCTTTACTCTTATTATTATTATTATTATTATTATTATTTTTTTCAAAACTCTCATTTCCAAGGATAAACAAAGAAAGAGGTGTGACATATGATCAAATTCTAATAAATTCCCAAGAATTTACAGAATTTTAAAAGAAACACAAAGAGAAAACCAACATAGACTACAGTAGAGAGAACTACTCAGAGTCTCAGAGTCTCTGTCTCAAAGAAATCAGAATCGCAAAGGGAGAAGAGAGAAGCGACTAAGAGATAAGTGAGAGCTCAAACAGCTAGAGAAAACTCAGAGAAGGAATAGGAACCTTAATTAGCAATCGCAACTGTGCAAATGAGGAGAGAACTAAAAATTTCTTCCTTATCAACGTATATATATATACTTAGACCAAACGACGCCGTATAGAACTAAGCTATACGTTACCCTAGCTTTGTCCGGATATTCAGGGGGGTCGGATGTGAAATTATCCCCACCCGAATCCTATAAACTGACGTCGTTTCATACGGCGGTTCGATTTTAAATGTTAGGTTCGGATCGGTTCGGGTAGTCTGCTACGAATTTCAGGTCGGCCAGTTTTTTTATTTTTTCAATTATTGCCCAACCCTACCAACATACCTTTGGGACGGAACAAAAGTTGTCCCCTACAACAAAATTGCCAAAACAATCAGTAAGTAAATTCAAGATGAAAAACAAAGATTATAGAAAATGGAAAAGGGGTAAATCAAAGTCAAATTACAAGACCAACTAAAATCATCAAAGCAACACATCGAGGAAAATGAAAATTAGGCTGAAAAAATTTTTACCAAATTTATATATATATATATATATATATATATATATATATATATATATATATATATATATATAATTAGAATTTAAAAAATGAACAAAAATAAAATCCAACAACTAGACAAGGAATCAAAGACCGGAAAGGTATTCCTAGAATGGCACACCAAGCAACACAAAGAACAATTAAACATCAATGGAATAAATTAGAGCAAAAACTAGAAAAAATTCAATCTCAAATGAAAATGAGAACTCACAAAAATACCGTTTAAGCAAATAATTGTAACAAGGTGGTCTCCCGTTTGAGTTCACTCTCTCAATTGCATTTGTGCAATGAAGTGGTGCTTGCGTGATATAAAAAGGTAGAGCAAGACTATATAAGAAGTCAATCACGTGATGAAGTCGTGTTTAATTGCGTGATATTTTTATTTGGTAGCACTCTAAAATGGTTTGGCGTTTTCACTTTTTTGCTTATTTGAGTTTCTATTTTACTATATTCGGAAGAAATTAATTAAATAAAAATTTAAGGAAAGTCTATTATGTGAATAACAACTATATTTTTTACACGTACTTAATATCAGGCTATCTTTTTCCTAAATTCCTATAATATTTCACCTAAATTATTTTTCCAAAGATTTATATAAAGAGATATGATATATACCTTGTAGTCTAGTGGCACGAAGTAATTCTTTCAAAAAAAAATTATGAGGCGGACATAATTCTTTGAAATAAGAGATTATGGGTTCGAGCCTCACTGACCGAATGTGTATACTTCCATTCACATATTAGTAGGAAAAGAATCCGAATTGTGTACTACTCTGCCCCGAATCGCCGTCGGCCGTCGCAGACTGCAAATCACATTCACCACCTCGCTCTGGTCAGTCATCTTCTCCGGCCTTTAGCTTATTTTCCGACCTCACCTGTTATTTTACTTTCAATGCACTTCTTGACTGTGTTGTTTACTTTCATTCGATGCTATAGGCTATAGCCCTAAAATCTGTTACGCTACTGTCTCCGTCCTTTTTTTCCCACACAAATACGCAAATATAGCGGCAGAGATGAGAGGTCTACAGATTTCTTTGAACAAAACGCAGAAAATTAGGTTGGAAAGAGCACTGGAACTGTTGGACTCGTTCTCCTCAAAAACCAACTCCAATGCCTCCGTCACCGTCGCCGACGTCACTCCCGTCGACCATGAAGACGGTGTCCTCAAGTACGTATATGCAAAATCTGATCTTGTGTGTATGGGCAAGTGTTTATTGAAATTTTACTGAAATGGCATTTAACAAATTAGTTTGCATATTGTAAAATTGCTTGTTGTGTGAAGGGGACATCTTGTGTGTATATATGTATGCTTCCATTCATATAATGATAATAATTAATCCATCTTTATTTAATTTTTTTAAATTTTAAAATAATTATTTTATTAAAAAGTAGTAAAATAAAATTAAAAGAATTCTTTTTAAATTAAGTGACCCACTAATTTAAAAGAATTGCATTAAATTAGACTTATTTATTACAATTTAAGGTACTCTTTCAAAGAGGACAGTAAGTTTAGATGGGATCAATAACTAATATCCAACAACTACAAACATTAACTCTACATTGTAATTGGAGTAACTGTTAACTATGTTTATGCACTACTTTTTTCTAATCATTCTTGGCAAGTACAGTAGAACTCATCTACCCACCGTACCGCAAGTAGAACCTTTTATTCGTCTTCTTCTTCATCCTATTCACCCCGCCCTCATCTTCATCGATCTTCTCTCAACCAAGCAGGCTAATTCACCGTTGATCAGCTACTCTGAACACCGGATTTTATCGCCGCGGTTATCATCTCTTCTGGGGTAACTCCTCCTTCTATACTTGAACATGCAAAATATTATGATGAGTAAGAGAGGATGAAATTGGAGTACATGATTTGTGAGGGTTTGAATGACTACCTTTAAGAAGCTTTTGATTGGATTTGGATATTTCTTGACTGATCAGGATCGGAGTAGCATTTGCTACCGCCTGTAATATGTTCAGATCACATATTAACAGGAGCCACATTGCTTCACCAACACTCAGAAATGGTTTCATGTCTTTCAGAACAAACACCATCTCTAGCAGAATGTAACCTGCGCAGCTTTTCAAGACCTCAAACAATGGACAACTAAAGGTGCCAAAATCAAGCACCTTTATGTGAGGAATTAGAAGCTTCTCGAGCTCAATTGCCATGGGATCATCCCACACAACTAGTTGTGAGATTTCACAGTCGGCTTTGTTGAACATTGAGCATATAATATAAAATCTAAATATACTTTTAGTTAAGATGGAACAGATCCTACAATTAACTTTCTTGTTCGCATTAGATGGGTCATATTTTTGGTTCAGAGACCTAAGCTCATTCAATGCATTATGGAGTTCTTCGTCTAATAACTCATAACTCTTCATCATTGAGGAAGATAGAGATGGTATATCCTTTCCACCAAACATTCTTTAGCTGCAATTGTCAATGCAAAAGCAAACTTTAAGATACACAAAAAATAAGAAAAAAAATTTCAACAAAATAATAAGTGATGAACAAATTAAAGAAATCCTGAACATATATATTCACTTGCTATGCATTAAGACGAGAAAGAAGTGCCACGTAAGAACAAATTCTAATAGACGATAATTCACAAAATTTTGAGAAGAACAAAGAGAGAAAATCATCATACCTACCCTTAGCATGTCAATGCAAGTGCAGCACCAAAAAGAAGTAGTCCTCTGCAACAAAATTCAATGAAAACAAATTAGCAAGCAAATTTAAAATTTAAAAAATTTGAAAATAAAAAGCACAATGAAAATGAAGCTAATAATATCTTACATATAATAGATCTAAAAAATAAAAATAAAAAGCCAAAAATGTGAAACAACCAGAAGGAATTAAAATCAATAATGGTGTTCTTGATAGGGCTCACTGAGAGAAACAAAGTAATAGATACACGGAAAGATCATAGCAAAATCAGATCCATATAAACAAATAAATCTAATACATAAAGTTAATCCAAAAAAAAAAAAAAAAATCTCGAACATATATACTATATATAGTCAATATATATTAGACATGAAAGAGGTGGAGCAATGCATAAAATCATATTCTACAATGTTGAATCCGCAATCCCACAACAAATCTAGCTTTTTAAAAAATCTTACATATTTACCAATTTTTTTAAAAAATAAAAGCAACAAATTCGAAACAACTAGACATGGAATCAAGGTTTGGAAAGAGTGAGAAACTAATAGATAAGCAGAAAGATTATAGCAAAAGCAAATTCATCTTTAAAAAAACACTCTCATTTAAACAGATGAACAAAGAATCTCATACATATAATTCCACAAAAGAAAAAAAAAAAAAAAACATACATTAAACATGGAAAATGTAAAACATATATATAATCTAATTCTACAATGTTAGATCGAAAATCCCATAGAAAATCTAGCTTTAAAAAAACTTAGGTATAATAAGATCTAAGAAAAATAAAATAAAAATTTTGAAACAATCATATAAGGAATCAAAAGATTATAGGGCACATCGATCTGAAAAAACACTCTCATTTCAATCGATGAACAAAAAATCTCAAGACATAATTCTTCGAAAAAAAAATCTAAGACATATACACTCAATATACATTACACATGAAAGAAGTAGTGAAACATAACTACATAAGATTTATTCTATATATTCCTTTAAAAAATAATAATAATTAATAACCATCACACCTATATGTTTAAGGGTATGTAGATTATTCGAAAAGGAGCAGTTATCTGAAATAAAAACGAAACAACCCAAGAACAAATCAGAGTCTAGAAAGATGTTTTTGATATATCTCAATCTCATGGAGAGGTTGAAACAAAGATCAATCAAACATCAATGAGATAAATGAAAAAATAAAAAATAAAAGGTTCAACTTTAGATGAAAATGAGAACTTACAAGACACTAATCAAACAAATGACTAGAACAAGCTGTGTGGTGAAGACTGAGGCAGTTTAGCCAACTTTATATAGGAGAAAAATCACCTATGACGTAAGCACTTACGTAACAATTCTATGACGTAAGTCCTTACGTCAAAATATAAAAATATATCCTTCCACAAATTTATGGAATTTCATTAAATGTTTCGAAACAGTTTCTTTATCTGTAGAAAATTTTAAAAATACCTTTTTTGAAATAAGAATATGACACAATTAATATTTATCCAAAAATGAAGATTTTATTATTATTATTATTATTATTATTATTATTATTATTATTATTGTTGTTGTTGTTGTTGTTGTTGTTGTTGTTGTTTTTGTAGTTGTTGTTGTTTTGTAAATACAACTTATATTTTTTATATGGCAAAACTTGTGTAAGACCGTCTCACGGATCGATCCTTGTCTGTGAGACGGGTTGGGTCATAAACAATTGGTTGTGTAAGTATTACAATTTCAGTGATAAGTATTACATTTTTTTTATCATTATTAAATAGTAACAATCAATTTTGCGCTAAATAGTACTACAATTTTACATATAAGTATTATAATATCTATTATGAGTAACAATATATTATTAATTTTAAATTGGTATTAAATTTTGAGTTTTTTTCAAAATGGTCCCTCAACTATTGCTCTATCTCAATTTTGCATTTCGACTTTCAATTGCACCAAACACTACTGGAAATTCTGAAATTTCCGATCACCTGAAAGTGATCTTAAATCAAGTCGAAAGCCTTGTTCCGACCACTTTTGGTATCCGGAAAAACCCTTGTTGCTATTTCCGACCACTTTTTGCTTTTAACTTGATTTAAGATCACTTTCAGGTGGTCGAAAATTCAATAATTTCCAGTAATGAAGTGTGGTCGCTCGACTTTCAAAAACTTACCCAATTTAATCCTCCGTTACATATTCTGTCTAATTAGTGTTAAAATGGTGGGTATTTTCGTCCGTTTACCTATTGTAATCCTAATATACACTTAGAAATAATCGAGGGACCATTTTAGAAAAAACTATTTTATTTATTTCATTTTTGTTTAACAAGTGATTAATTGAGGTAAATTTTAAATTTTGTATATGTCACATAATCAAATTAAGTGTATATATACATAAATACACACACCATTCATATTAAACCTTTATATATGAGTCAACCATGAAATATAATTTAATAAAACAACATAGAATAAATAACAATATAATATAGAAAATACTTCAAAAGAGACCGAACTCTAATAAAATTCTGGAACAATGCTGAGCATCTAGCTAGCCAAGCAATAGAACTCTTGCATCCATGCATGCCATAATCCGATACCATCCATGCCATAATCCGATACCATGCATTATTGCTCTGATTTGATCTCATTCATGGCTTTCGGGCAGTGTACTCTGATCTAGTTAGCTAGCGGACAGTGATCCGCTTCTCCATTGGCGTTCGACAAATAAGACAGTCGTTCATTCCTAGCCTTTGATGAAGCACATTACAGTCTTCGCAAAGAGCCAGATGAGCACAAGGGAGGAAAGCTACTGTTTTTTCCAGAATCAAACACATAACGCATTCCCTTTCCACATTCATGTCTAATTCCCAACTATCCACCAATTTGAGTTCAGAGATTTCAGCTCTTATCTTCTTCATGCGTTCTTCCTCCATAGTAGACTCCTCCAATTCTGCTGGGCTTTCTTCTTTTTCTTTCCCCTCCTTCATAGATCTCTCCTTCCATGCCTTGATCAGAAGCAGTTGTTTGTGGAGAGATTCTGCTAACCGTTCATACTTCTCATAATATATGGAAGGTAGGAGTGGGAAACCATCCCTATCCCTATCCCTATCCATGGAACTGTCTGACAATTCATCAAACACCATCTTCTCCTTGCCCTTGTTATCACCATTGTTGTTGCCTTCACCACCTCCTCCTGCCTCGTTTGTGTTAACCATTTTTTTTTTTTTGCTGTCAAATACAGAAACATAAAGCTAGATTAGAAAAATTAATTACATATTTACTCTTACCCTAAATAAAAATAAAAATAAAAATTCTCATTTCCATAGATAGATGAACAAAGAAAGAGGTGTAACATAAGATTCAATTTTAATAGAGCATAAATTCACGAAATTTTAAAAGATATGCATAGAGAATATCAACATACCTTTGGATTTTATTGCAATGTAGACCAAAAAGAAGTAAAACGTCTTCACTCCTTTGCGACAAAATAACTAGTACGAATCAGCAACCGATTTCAATAAAAAACAAAAAAACAAAAAATTATATAGAAATAGAAAGACTAGAAAAACAAGATCTTTACTCTTATTATTATTTAAAATAAAAAAAAACTATCATTTCTAAGGATAAACAAAGAAAGAGGTGTGACATTAGATCAAATTCTAATAAATCCGCAAGAATTTACAGAATTTTAAAAGAAACACAAAGAGAAAACCAACATAGACTAGAGTAGAGAGAACTCAGAGTTTCAGAGTCTCTGTCTCAAAGAAATCAGAATCGCGAAGGGAGAAGGGAGAAGCGACAAAGAGAGAAGTGAGAGCTCACAGAGAGAAATCAGAGAAGGAATAGGAACCCTAGCAATCGCGACTGTGCAAATGAGGAGAGAACTGAAGATTTCTTCCTTATCAATGTATATATATACTTAGACCAAACGATGCCGTATAGAACTAAGCCATACGTTACCCTAGCTTTGTCCGGATATTCAGAGGGGTCGGATGTGAAATTATCTCCACCCGAATCCTATAAACTGACGTCGTTTCATACGGCGGTTCGGTTTTAAATGTCGGGTTCGGATCGATTTGGGTAGTCTGCTACGGATTTCAGGTCGGCCAATTTTTTTGTTTTTTCAAGTATTGCCCAGCCCTACCAACATATATACCTTTGGGACGGAACAAAAGTTGTCCCCTACAACAAAATTGCCAAAACAATCAGTAAGTAAATTCAAGATGAAAAACAAAGATTATAGAAAATGGAAAAGGGATAAATCAAAATCAAATTACTAGACCAACTAAAATCATCAAAACAACACATCGAGTAAAATGAAAATTAGGCTGAAAAAAAATCTTACCAAAATTTTTTTTTAATATAAAATCAGAATTTAAAAAATGAACAAAATTAAAATCCAACAACTGGATAAGGAATCAAAGGCCGGAAGGGTATTCCTAGAATGGCACACCAAGCAACACAGAGAACAATTAAACATCAATGGAATAAATTAGAGCAAAGACTAAAAAAAATTCAATCTCAAATGAAAATGAAAACTCACAAAAATACCGTTTAAGCAAATAATAGTAACAAGGTAGTCTCCCCCTGAGTTCACTCTCTCAATTGCATTTGTGCAATGAAGTGGTGCTTGCGTGATATAAGAAGGTAGAGCAAGACTATATAAGAAGTCAATCACGTGATGAAGTCGTGTTTAATTGCGTGATATTTTTATTTGATAACACTCTGAAACGGTTTGACGTTTTCACTTTTTTACTTATTTGAATTTCTATTTTACTATATTCGGAAGTAACTAGTTAAATAAAAATTTAAAGAACGACCAATCGACCATGAAGACGGTGTCCTCAAGTACGTATATGCAAAATCTGATCTTGAAACATTCACATATGGGCAAGTGTTTATTGAAAATATATTGGGCATTTTCCATTAGAATCCATTCTCACATGTCTGCTTTATTGGGTTACGTTATAGGTGCTATAGTAAATGCAAAGCGCAAAGGTAACATTATATATTGCAGTTGTGTAGTTGAATTTACTCGATCTCTGTTTTCAATACAAGCTAGGTTGCTCCAAAGCGATGGAGATTGGAGATAAACTCTAGCCAAGATGCTGTATTGATGCTTTCATCTATGAATTTGCCAGATGGCATTCAGGTATATTTATATGTATCTTCACTGCAGTTTGGTTTCGTGTGATGTGCCTTTTCATTATTGAATTTTGTGGCATAAAATATAAAGCTTGCTTTCTTATTTTAACCTTTAAACAAAATTTGCATGTTTCATAATTCTATATACGATGACACAGTCTTAATTTTAGATTTGATTGTGGGAAAGCTGAATTACAGATATCTCATTTTGTTCTTTTTAATTTCCAGAGGCGACGACCTGCAGTTGATGAACTAAACATGCGATGTATATTTGAGGAGAATGATGTTGTTTGTGGAAGGACGCTCACTTCCTTCTAGAAGCTAGGATAGTTTCTGATGGATTATATGAACCGGGGGTCCGGATTATACAATCCGAATATATGTCGAATGTGATAAAGGGAATAATAAAATGATAATAGGGGTGTGTACGTAAATGATATTATATATTATAGGTGTGTAATGCTATTACAGATGTTCGGGACGTGTAATAACGATACAAGTATTTTTATATCTAGGGGTATTTTTATAGAAAGTAGAAGATAATTGAACAGGACACCGGGGGTATTTTTATACCCCGGCCACTACGGGCCCTGGGTCCGTGGGAGGAGCTGCGGCCCGCGCCGTGAAACTCGCTCCACGCGAGGACCCGGTCCTTGGCCGAGCTCGGAGCTCGGCCAAGGGACCGACTATGGGCTCGGCCGAGCCCATGGATGTCGGCTCGACGGCGAGCCGACCCCATGCCGCCTGGGGTGGTTCACCACGCGTCGCGAGTAGTCCGTTGATGCCGGGTCCGACCCGTTCCGTGTTGGTTCATTCCAAGCCCGCTCCGTGTTGGTTCGTTCCAAGCCCGCTTCGTGATTATTCCATCAGTTTCCAAGTTATTTGATCTCCATTTTTCGTTTTTTCTTATAAACTTGGAGGGATGTTCAGGCTGAAGTTCATGGTTTCCAGCATGATGGTAGTCTTCACCTGCAAGCTAGAATGATAAATAAAATGTAGGAATAAGGTTCAAATTGGCCACTGAACGTAATCTGAAAATGCAATTAGGCCATTGAACGAAAAAAAAATTACAATTAGGCCACTGAACACTCCAAAAAGTGCAATTAGGCCACTGAACACTTCGATCAAATGTATGCAATTTCATCAAATAGCAGGTTACCATCAATTTTAGCAGGTTAAGCAAATAATAAATAAATAAATAAAACGACGACGGCCACCCATTCGTTTTTTTTTTCATTTTTTTAAAAAAATTATTATTAAAAATTATTTAAAAATGTACACTAACTTCGAGAGGGTCAAGGTGAGTTATGAAATTGCAAGAATGGCAAATAAAATGTAAAGGTAAAATTACAAGAATAGAATAGACAATGAATGCAATCCATTAATTTAAAACAATTTGGATCAAGGATATGCCTAGATTACAAATAATAAAACTCTATTAAAAATGCCCCGCATTTACTACACAGTAAAATTCAAGTCTTTTATTACATTTTGCTTTGATATATTGTCAATGATGGAAATGAGAACGCTTTTAATGTCAAAAGATTCGGATTGTATGAATTAAGACCATATTCAAAATCATTAAAGATTTTACTAAACAGAGTCGTCATGTATCCGTTGATTTTAATTATGATTATGTATTTATTAATAATATAATTAAATATTTTACTAAACATAGTTGATTATTATAATTGTATATGTGTAATTAATCTTTTAAATTTAGAAAATAGAATGTAACATTGGACTTTAAAAAAAATTATATCAAACTAATATTACTTAAATTTCATTATTTAACGTCAATATATCAAAAAAAAAAATTATATCAAACAAAAAATCACGCAAGCGGCACTTCATCTCGCCATTGACTTCTTATATATAGCGTGTCTTGCTCAAACGTCATTACTTCTTGTTATTATTTGCTTAAACGGTGTTTTGGTGAGTCTTCATTTTCATTTGAATTGAACTTTTTCTAGTTCTTGCTCTAATTTAATTTATTCCGTTAATGTTTGATTAATGTTCTTCAATCTTCATTTCGCTTGGTGTGAGATTCTAGGAATACTCTTCCAGCCTTTGATTCCTTGTAGTCTTTTCATTTTCCTCTTTGTTGTTGTGATGTTTTTAGTTGGTCTAGTAATTAATTTGATTTTGATTTATCCATTTCCCATTTTCGATAATATAAACTTTGTTTTTCATCTTGAATTTACTTGCTGATTGTCCTGGCAATTTTGTTGCAGATCAGAGGACTACTTACTTTTGTTTCTGCACTTACAATAAAATCCTAAGGTATGCTAGTTTTCTCCTTGAATTGTGTTTCTTTTAAAACTCCGCAAATTCTTGCTCTATTAGAATTATTAGATCTTATATCAATACACCTCGTTCTGTGTTTATATCCATAGAAATGAGAGTTTAAAAAAAAAAAAAAAAAAAAAAAAAAACAAGTGTAAAGATCTCATTTTTTTTTCTAGTCCTTTTGTTTCTCTATACTTTTTTTCATCTGGAATTAACTATATGATTAAATATTTCACTAAACAAACTCGGAATTGATTTTAATTATAATCGTTGATTTATTAATAATATAATTAAATATTTTACTAAATAAAATTATCATTTAAAAATTACCAATCGATTTTAATAATGATCATTGATTTATTCATAATATAATTAAAATTTTACTAAACAAAGTTGTCATTTATCATTTATCATTTAATTTTAATTATGATTGTTGATTTATTAATTATATAATTAAAGATTTTACTAAACATGCAGAGTCGTCATTTATTAATTTTAATTATTATTGTTATGTATTTATTAATAATATAATTAAATATTTTACTAAACATGGTTGATTATAATTGTATATGTGTAATATTTTAAATTTAGAAAATAGAATGTAACATTTGCACTTAAAAAAAAAAAATTATATCAAACTAATATTACTTAGATTTCATTATTTAACGTCAATATATAAGAGTATGCTTTAAATTAAATATACCTCATTTGTTCAAATTGTGTTTGATTCAGTTAACAAAAATTAATTCAAATTATTTATAATTTAATTTTTATAGTAAATAATCTTTATGTGTGTGTGTATATATATGCGCAAACACACACGTACGTACATATATGGTTTTTCTTTTAATATTATTCTTTTAATAATTGCTGCAAATTTTCGTTGGTATATTCCAAATTAAATTCATTTGAATATATTAATTAGTTTCCTATTAATTATTAAACTTATAAATAGGAAATTGACTATATTAGCATGTGAATGTTGCATCATTCATGATGTAATATTTAGTTTTAATTTTACTTTTAAATTTTTGTGTTTATTTTTATTGTCAAAAGCAATTCTCTTACATACTATTTCTATGTATATATAACTCTTTGGGGGAAAAAAAAATTTAAGGTGAAACATAGGGAAAGGACAAAACCCAATACAAGATTATATTAAGTGTAAAAGATATAGCGGCTATGAGCATAATAGACTTTTCTTAAATTTTTATTTAGCTACCTCCGGATATAGTAAAATAGAAACCCAAATAAGTAATAATTAATTAAAAGATAAAATTCAATACAAGATTATATTAAGTGTAAAAGATATAGCGACTATTAGCGTAATAAACTTTCCTTAAATTTTTATTTAGCTACGTCCGGATATAGTAAAATAGAAATCCAAATAAGTAATAATTAATTAAAAGGCAAAACTCAATACAAGATTATATTAAGTGTAAAAGATATAGCGGCTATTAGCATAATAGACTTTTCTTAAATTTTTATTTAGCTACCTCTGGATATAGTAAAATAGAAACCCAAATAAGTAATTAATTAAAAGACAAAACCCAATACAAAATTATATTTAGTGTAAAAGATATAGCGGCTATTATCATAATATACTTTCCTTAAATTTTTATTTAGCTACGTCCGAATATAGTAAAATAGAAACCCAAATAAGTAATAATTAATTAAAAGACAAAACTCAATACAAGATTATATTAAGTGTAAAAGATATAGCGGCTATTAGCATAATAGACTTTCCTTAAATTTTTATTTAGCTACTCCTCTGGATATAGTAAAATAGAAACCCAAATAAGTAATTAATTAAAAGACAAAACCCAATACATGATTATATTAAAGTGTAAAAGATATAGCGGCTATTAGCATAATAAACTTTCCTTAAATTTTTATTTAGCTACCTCCGGATATAGTAAAATAGAAGCCCAAATAAGTAATTAAAAAGTGAATTGAAACTTAACGTCAAACCGTTTCAAAGTACCACCAAACAAAAAATCACGCAAGCAACACCTCATCGCGCCATTAACTTCTTATATATTGCCTCCGTTGCTCAAACTTCATTCCTTTGTTATTATTTGTTTAAACGGTGTTTTGGTGAGTCTCATTTGAAATTTAATTTTTTCTAGTTCTTGCTCTAATTTATTTCATTGATGTTTAATTGTTCTTCAATCTTTATTTCGCTTGGTGTTAGATTCTAGAAATACTCTTCCAGCCTTTGATTTCTTGTAGTCATTTTTCCGGCCTAATTTTCATTTTCCTCTTTCTTGTTTTGTTGTTTTTAGTTGGTCTAGTACGTAATTAATTTGATTTTGATTTATCCATTTCCCATTTTCTTTTAAAATTTCATGAATTCTTGCTCTGTACTGTTAGAATTAGACCTTATGTTAAAACTTTTTTTTTAATATTAGTGTGTGTATATATATATATATATATATATATATATATATATATATATATATATATATATATATGTGTGTGTGTGTGTGTGTGTGTGTGTGTGTGTGTGTGTGTGTGTGTGTGTGTGTGTGTGTGTGTGTGTGTGTGATTTTTCTAGTCTTTCTGAGAGGAGTGATCACATGTGGCCATGTTGTTAAGTGTGGTCATATGGTCAATTAAAGACCATTAGATTAGATAGATCTAATGAATCATATTAATCAAGATTTTTTCAGTATTTTCGCGCACATTTTCCTACCCAGCGAACTGTAAGGGTAAACTTGTCATAAAACACCGGAATAAGGAAAATCACATTGTTGTGTGTTTTATTACACTATTGGTGCATGTTGTCAACACGGTTGGTGTATTCTGGAACTCGACCGCTATAAATGGCCACTGTAATTACCATAACACGGGAATACACCATTGGTGTGTTTCACTGTGGTGTGTTTTATTACACCATTGGTGTATGTTGTCAACACTGTTGGTGTATTCTGGAACGCGCCCGCTATAAATGGTCACTGTAATTACCATAACACCCCCACTTACTAAAACGCGCGAAAATCCTCAGAATTACCACAACCTTTAGATTAAACTGATTCTACGACTCAGATACGACCACACGACCACACCTAATGACATGACCACATGTGAGCGTTTTTCGTCTTTCTGATATGTTTCTCAATAATATTTTTTTTCATCTTAAATTTTATTGAGGATTCGTTTCGTACTTGATTTTGTTGCAGGGGAGTGAGGACTACTTCTTTTCCGTTCTACACTTGCAAAAAAATCAAAAGGTATATATGCTTGTTTAATTTTCTCTCTGGGTATCTTTTAAAATATCGTAAATTTCCGATCGATTAAAATTGGAGGGTCCCCTCAAAAAAAAAAAAAAAAAAGATGTTACTTCTTTTTGTCTCATTTTATCTGTCCTACTTACTATTTATTGGTCAAACCAATTCTTTTTTCTTTGTTTATTTTCTTTAGTATTCTGAACTTATTTTTAAATTTGATTTTTTGTGTTTAATAGTATTTTAGTGCAGTTTCTAAATATATAAATTTTGTACACTAATACTAGGGATGACAATTTCAATCCGCCCCGCGGAAATTCACCCAAATCCGCCCCGCATGGATCGGGTTTTTTTGGGTGATGGTGGGTGGTGGGTCGGGGTGGGTCTTTAAAAAGTAAACCCGCGGTGAGTTGGGTTGAATTCGGGTTCTATGTACAAAACTCGTCTAAAACCCCACCTGACCCACCATGTGTGTGTATGTATATATAATAGTAAAATAAGTATTAGTATGTAGTTATTTATAAAAGTTTATATAACTTCGTGTATCTTTTTACTATTTTTATATCTAAACTACTAAGTTTATTTTTAAAAATTAACAATTTAGTTATTATATTTAAATATTTCTATTATTTTATGTTTTATTATCACTAATAAATTTTATTATTTTATTATGTGTAAGTGTGTAACAGTGTAAGTACTTTTAAATATTATTTTTGAATAAAATAATAAGATAATAAGTTGTGGATATCCATAGTAGGCACCCGCACCCGGTGGGGGTGGGGTAAGTTTTGAAAAAGTCCATCCGATGCGGGTTGGAGCTGAGGTGTGGGTGAGCGAAGAAAATATAAGGTGGGTCGGGTGATGGATATAGTCTTCCCCGACGCATTGTCATCCCTAACTAATACGGAGTACTAAACTTAATATTATAAAAAATTAAAATTAAAAATACATTTAGTCAAACATTATTAATCGAACCAAACACATAAAATGGGAGGGAGGGAGTATATGTTACACCTATTTCTTTGTTTATCTATGGAAGCTAAGTGAGAACTTTATTTTTATTTATTTATTTAGGGTAGTAAGAGTAAACATGCATCTTATTTTCTCTAATATTTAATTTATGTGTATCTTAATTAGAATTTGGTATTGTATTACGATCGAGTTGCAGTTAAAGATCGAGTTGTTTGAATTCAATTCCCAGCAAAAATGGTTAACCCAATGGCAAGAGGAGGCGGTGAAGGCAACAACAAAGGCGACAAGGGCAAGAGAAAGATGATAATAAAGACTTCAAATTCCAAGGACGATATCCTAGTTCTACCTTACTTGGATTTGCAGAGCTATGGAACGTTAGCAGAATCGCTCCACAAACAAATGCTTGAGGTGAAGGCATGGAAGGAGAGATCATCTGAAGTGAAGGAGGAGAAAGAAAAAGAAGAAGAAAGCCCTGCAGAATGGAATGAGCCCCTAGCAGTCCAGCTTCAAGAACTTCTATTTCAGAAATTGATGGATTGTTTCCAGACTGTAATCAAGAAGATCGCTGCAAATGGTTATTACAGTATGGAGCAAGCAGAATGGGGTGTGCTGAATAGCGGGTTTTACATGGGGAACTATTACGATATCACTTCAAATATTGTAGCGGCTGCCATGGCGTTCCTGGCTGAGCAGAAGAAGGAGTTTGATCCCTCTAAGCGCTACATGTTTGATAATGTGGAAAGCTTGGCCAATTATGCTTTGGTGGAAATGTTGAATGTGGTGAAACAAGTGAAGCCATATCTAAGTGTGGCTGATGCAATGTGGCTACTCTTCTTATTCGATCTCAACCTCATACACCTCATACAAGCAGCCTGGGAAGCACAGTCTGTAAACCATTTTAGCTCCACCAATCCAAAACGATCATCATCTTCATCTTCCACCAAAGAAGACATGTTTCTGAAGAAGAAGACTGTGTATGATATGCCTGCTGTTACCACCATTGTTCCAGAATTAGAAGGAGGCAAACGGGGAAGAAACGCAACTGGGAAAGCCCCTGCAAGCTCAAGGAAGGTGACAATGAAAATGAAAACCCAAAGTAGTAGGAGCATTATTATTATCCCAGAAAAGAAACCTGCAGAAACCCCAAAAACCACAGAGAAAGACGAAATGTTAGCTGCCCTAACCCAGCGCAAGAAGCAGCTGGAGAGAGAGTTGCAGGGATGGAGAGATTGTACAAGCACGAAGGTCGGGCAGGCAGCTCAGAAGCTGAAGAGAAACAATGAACAGAAGAAGATATTGAGGCAGGATAAGGAGGCTGCAGCTGCTGATAAGTGCACTCATAATGCGAAGAACATTTCTGAGTTGGATGTTGCACTAAACAATGCTAAGTACATGATGGAAACGGCTACTACTACTCATCTTAAGCTCCAGGAGGAGCACACCATGCTGGTGAAAAAGCTAGAGGATTCAAAACTGGCTTTCCTTTCCCCAAATCAAAATCTGCAGGAGATTAAGCTGAGGGAACAGGAGTTGCTTAAGCAGTGCAGTAAATTGGAGGCGGAGATAAGGTTTTTGCAGGAAGATCTTGCACGTCTCAAGCCCGAATCAGCGAATTTGCAGCAACAAATAGATAAAGCTAGGAAGCGCGAACATGAATTTGAGGTATATATAGTATATATGCTTATTATTAATTGCATAATGTTAGTTTTTCTCTGATTTGCCTTGAGGCTCATATATACAATTTTGGACAACTGTCATATATGGGTGTTAACTTATCTTTCTGCAGGTTCTCCGGCAGAATGAAGAGAGGGAGAAGATAAAGCTTCTGGAGAAGGCGGAGTCGCTGAGGAGGGAAAGACAAGAAATGAATGAGAAGGCAAAAATGGAGGAGGATAAGTTGATAGCAAAGACAGAAGAGAATAGGGTTAAGTATGAGGAACGCATGAAGGAGATAAGAGCTCGAATCTCTGCACTTAAACTGGGGGCTGAAAGTAGTTCAAGTTCTGGGAAAGCTGAATCTGCAGCAGAAATGAAACGACACGAAAAGGAATGTGTTATGTGCTTGAGTGTGGATAGAACAGTAGTTCTCCTCCCATGTGCTCATCTGGCTTTTTGTGAAGAGTGCAGTGAGCTTCACGAAAGGCTGGGAATGAACGACTGTCCTACTTGTCGAACCCTAATCATGCAGCGGATCCGTGTCCATTTTTCTCCTCCCCGAAAGCCATGAGAACAAGAAGCTAGCTTAGGTTAAGTTGATAATGGCATGCATGCATGCAATTCAAGAAATGCAAGATCGAGTTGGGTCTAGTGCTTGATTGGCTGCATGCTCAGCACTCCGGATAAACTGTTGTTTTAATTTCTTTCGTGGGCTTTTTTGTTTTCACAATTTGTAATGACCCTGTATTGTATGGAATAATTATACTGTGGACCGCGGTCTAAAAACGACGCGCCGTTATAGTTAACGGAGCGCACATGTTTGGTGTATTAATTACCAACTGAAACTACAGTGTATCTAAACTAACACTGCCTCACGTATTATTTTTATATCATCAAATGAAACTGCAATTGAATTGAAATGAAACTGTAGTTGTGTTGAAATGAAACTGTATTGTATATAAAATGAAACTGAATAACATTTTTATAATGGATTCTCAACTTTAATTTGTTTATTTATTTTATATTATTTGAATTTTTTATCAAGATGAAAATAGTTTGTGCTCACACTAAATGGAAGCGATGTAAAATTTTAAAATATTCACATTATATTCTCAATGGTAGGACCAAGGTGAGTTGTGAAGTTACAAGAATAAGATGAGTTGTGAAGTTACAAGAATAACGTGGAGCGAATGTAAATTTAGTTCTAAATTAATTTTAAAATGACACGAATGACGAATATACAATTCATACTATATTTAGTTTTATTTCCATACTAAAATTTAAACGTGAGAGCTCTCATTTGAAGGGCCACAACTATATCTCTCGACCATAAGGTCTTTGGTTAATTTGTGTATTTATTATATATTGTTTAATTATTTAGTTTAGTATTCACACTCAGTGGAGCTGATGCAATTTTTTTAAATGTACACCAACTCTATTGTGACGTTAGGGTGAGTCTTGAAATTATCAAATTGTCACCGCATTTTTTTTTTTCAATTTTGATACTCCTGAACGTTGACTTAAACAAGATCAATGACTCACATTTAACCGCACAATCGCAATTGAATTGAAATGAAACTGCATTGTATATAAAATGAAACTGAATAACATTTCACATATTTGAGTGTATATTGTGCAATATAATGAAACTGTAGTTATATCGAAATGATAATGTAGTTGTGTTTTAATGAAACTATAGTGTATATAAAATAAAATTAAATAACATTTTCACATATTTGAGTGTATAAATATCGAATTGAACTGTAGTTATAATATCGAAATAAAACTGTAGTTGTGTTGAAATGAAACTGCAGTGTATACAAAATGAAACTGAATAAAAAAAATTACTTTTTGCGGAATGGCGCAAAATAGGTGTCGTTTCTTTTCATTAAACAAAACAACGTCGTTTAGAATCTCGGTGAATAATTATGCATAATTCATTATGCACCGCGGTACACAATATAATTTGCCGTATTGTATTCACAAATTCACAAAACTTAAAAACACAATTTATATTCTAGAAGTTCACAATTCCAATACTAATAAACCAACCCTCATGCACACATTTAGAAGTCTTACTAATATTGGGTTGAATTGTGGGCTTCATTTTAGTTTGAATTCCTAACTAACTAAATGCAATGCAACCCTAATCGCATAATGCAAATTAAAGTAAATTTTGAGATTGTTTAAACTATTTTAACTTACTTTTAATTTCAGTCCCATATATAGATTTTATTTGATGTGTTAAACATGTGTCAAATAAAATAACCCCTTACAAAATGAATTGAATTATGTATATATAATTCTTTATGCTTATTAATAATTTATGTATTAATTATTCTCAATATAAATAGAGATAACTACACTACACATAACAAGTATATAAAACTCTACCTTCTAGTCAAGTTTGAAGTTCGGACTCATGTTCAAAGATAAGTTACATATTTTTTAGATAATAAAATTGAATTTAAATTTTATATGTTATTAATTAAACTTAAATAATATAAAATAAATACATAAAAATTAAGGTTTATAATCCATAATAAAAATTACTCCGTAATATAAACTTACATACGTTACATTTCTAAACGTGAGAAATTGACAAAATTTTGAATTACATACATTACACTTCTAAACGTGTGAGATTGACAAAATTTTGAATAAGTGCCAAATGTATGGTCAATCTTTCACGTTTAGAAGTGTAATGTATGAAATTATTACATACATTACACTTTTAAACGTGAGAGATTGACAAAATTTTGAATTGCACACGTTACACTTCTAAACGTGTGAGATTGACAAAATTTTAAATCAGTGCCAAATGTATTGTCAATCTCTCACGTTTAGAAGTGTAATGTATGCAATTATTACATACACTACACTTCTAAATTTGAGAGACTGACAAAATTTTGAATTACATAAGTAACACTTCTAAACGTGTGAGATTGACAAAATTTTGAATCAGTGTCAAATGTATTGTCAATAATCTCTCACGTTACATTTACATTTACCGTACATGGTTTTGTTGCAATTTTATTTTATATAAATTAAATTTTATTTGTCATTCTTGCAATTTCACAACTGTACTCACATTGGCTCACCTCGAAATTAGTGTACATTTTAAAATTTTGCATCATTTTACCCACCCTTGGAGTTAGTGTACGTTTTAAAATTTTACATTTAACTTTAATTTGTTTATTCATTTTGTATTTGAGTTTTTATTAAGATGAAAAAATAGCTTTTGGCTCTGTTTGACAAACCTAGCTGAAAAGCTATATGCTTGGAGCTTAAAACTGAAGAGCTGTTATGATTAAAAGTGTTTGATAAAATTAGTTTTTTGATAAGATGATAAATGTAAAAAGACTAAAAAGGACATCTTCATAACATTTAAATTAGTTTGATTACATATTAAAATTTAACATTTTGTCTTTAAGAAAAAAATTAACATTTTGAAATAAAATTATTAGCATAATCATGATCTAGCATCTCATAATGAAGTAACAATATTATTGCAAATCTAATAATAATAATAATAATAATAATAATAATAATAATAATAATAATAATAATAATAATAATATTTGCTGTGAAAATTGTGGATAAAGGATAAGAGAAAAGGGTTTAATTGGGAACGATAAATTGTATCATTTCTTTAAAATAATAAGGATAAAGATGAAAAAAAAATTATGAAACTATGAGCTTATTTTGGAAACATTACCAAACAGAGCTTATAACTTGTAGTTTAAAATAAGCTATAAACTCCTAAATAAGCTCTGCAAAACAGAGCCTTTATTTGCACCCAGTGAAAATAATAACGCAAAATTTTAAAATGTACACTAACTCCCAGATAGGGTTTGGGTGGGTGAAATGATGCAAAATTTTAAAAATATACATTGATTTCGAGGTGGGCCATTGTGAGTTGTGAAATTGCATGAATGACAAATAAAATTTAATTTATATTAAATAAGATTACATCCAAAACGCTAATGACCTCGTGGTCTAGTGACATGAAGTGACTCATTCAAATGAAAAGTCATGGGTCCGAACCCTAAAGAGGGCTCTTTGTGCTTCAATAGGGCAATTATTACATACATTACACTACTAAATGTGAGAGATTGACAAAATTTTGAATCAGTGCCAAATGTATTGTCTTGCCAATCTCTCACATTGAGAAGTGTAATGTATGTAATAATTGTATATGTTACACTTCTAAACATAAGAGATTGACAAAATTTTGAATCAGTGCCAAATGTATTGTCAATTTTCCACGTTTAGAAGTGTAACGTATATAATAAATGCATACGTTACATTTCTAAACGTGAGAGATTGACAAAATTTTGAATCAGTGCCAAATGTATTGTCAATCTCCCATATTTAGAAGTGTAACGTATGTAATTATTACATACGTTACACTTCTAAACGTGCATACGTTACATTTCAAAATGTGAGAGATTGACAAAATTTTGAATTAGTGCTAAATGTATTGTCATTTGTCAATCTCTCACATTGAGAAGTGTAATGTATGTAATAATTACATACGTTACACTTCTAAACGTATGCAATGATTACACTTTTAATTTAACGTACATGTAATAATAGTGTTAGATGTAATCTTTTTTAATATAAAGTATAAATTAAATTTTATTTGTCATTCTTGTAATTTCGCATCTCGCATTAATCCACTTCGAAAGTAGTACACATTTTTAAATTTTATATCACTTCACCCACGTGGGCCGTGGCCCAACCTTGAGTTAGTGTACAACTGTACATTTCAAAATTTTGAATTAATTCCCCTTTGTGCGAATACAATCTATTTTTCACCTTAAGAAAAACTCAAATAATATAAAATAAACAAACAAATTAAAGTTTCTAATCCTTAATAAAAAATTAATATAATATAAATACATAATAACAAGTTTATTAACAATTTATGCATTGATTATTGTCGATATAAATAGAGATAACTACACTACTACACATAATAACTATATAAAATTAATTTAACGGGTAACGGGGTAGCTCAAGTAGCAAATGAACTTTCTTTGTGGGAAAGAATTTTGAAATAATCCAAGTTCAATTTCTACAAATGATGATTCTCCTTGGGCCAACTTTCTACAAGTTATGATTCCTCTTGGACCAACTCCCGTGCCTCCTAGAGCGATTGAGAGTTAGTCGGGTGGACCTAATAACTATATCAAACTTTACCTTCCAATGAGGTTTGAAAGTTCAAAGATAAGTAAATATTTTTTTTTTTAGATAATAAAATTGAATTCAAATTTTCTGTTGTTATTCATGAAGTAATAATTTTTTGGGTGACAATAAAAAATCACAACAACTACTTGAAGGTATGCACATTCCTTCATATGTACTAATTTAACCCGTAAACCACGCATGATATAAATCTCATTAGAAAAAACTCTTTAGGTGATGGACTCGAGGAAGACGATGCAAAATGTGTTTTCACCTTTATAAGTTGTAGCATTTAAGTAATAATTAGTTTGGTAGTAATAGTTGATTCAGTGCTAAATGTATTGTCAATCTCTCACATTTAGAAGTGTAACGTATGCAATTATTACATTTATATTTAACGTACATGTAATAATTAGTTTTGGATGTAATCTTATTTAATAAAAAGTAAATTTTATTTGTCATTCTTGCAATTTCCCAACTAACATTGACCCA